CATGTTCTTCTATGCAAGATTGTGCATGTTTGTAGTTGTTACCCTGATTGGTGTTTATGCTGTGCTGCCGGCGCCGCCGCTGCTGCTGCAGCTACTGCTGCTGCTGTTGTTGGTGTATTTCAAAGAATAGACTATGCCGCTACCAAGTATTATTCTCTGTATGAGCTATCGCCACTGTACTCATAAGTTGACTTGAGCCATCTTGCACCAGGCTGCTCCTTCGTCGTCCTCCACGCCTAGCACAGTCCGGAGCCTCAGAGGGATACCATAGCTGCAACCAAAGCGCCAAGCGCGCGCCTTCTGGATTCAGGCCGCTTCAGCTCCTAAAGGGCCCTACAAGAACTACGATCAGGATTGACCACAAGCTGCACTTGAGACTCTGGTGTCCACCGTCAGGTGCGTCTTCAGATCCGCTGTGCAACTTCGGGCCGCGTGGTCGACAGCTCAAAGAGCCATACTTCGGCTGGCCTGGCTTTGTTTAGGGCGTGTGAGTCTGCAATTGGTAGAAAGCTCCAAGATGAGATGAGTTGAATTCTGTTTGGATTGAGGTTCAAGTTCAAGACATCGGGGCAAAGTTGATTCTCAGGGCAGCAGCTTTTCTGGTGCAAACCCTCTCCCACAGCCTCGCGTCGTGTCTTGTCGCCGCTGTGCTTGTGCACAGTGCTATGGTGCTTCAAGTATATGTCTCTTGCACGCAAGTGTTGAACAGCAGATACACGTACTCGGACAGAGAGTGTGTGCGCGCTTTGTCTCAAACTCAACATTCCAGCCACAACTCTGAGTTGAAGTCCATTGACTACATTGCGGCGGTTGTTATAACCTCTGAGCATAGATCTGTGTTTGATATTAAGCGAGATTTCGCATGCAAATCACAGAACTCGTCCGGATGCCGCTGTTGCAAGCTGCCGATCGCTCCAGACAATTTTCTGTCAACGTGACTCATGCTACTCTTGACATTGATACCCCGGCTGCATCTGCTCTGACTGCGGACCTGACCTAAAACAACGGCAAAGTTCGCCGCTGAAGTTTGGAGCTTTCCGAGGTGACATCGAGCAGCTTCGATCCCGATGACTTGCTCATCTCAGTGCGTGCTTTCGCTACGAAGGACTTTCGACTTGGTTTTGGCGAGGGCGAGGGGGCGGTTTGGTCAGGGTCAGAACTCTAATCTTCAAGGAGTCCCTTGTCCTGCCCACAGGCAGTTTCTTTTTGTAGTTGCGGCCAAAGACCCTTATTACCCTAACTAGTGTTGCGTTTATCACTGTCATCAATTAGTACTGCTAGTAGCAGTAATGTTTAGCATTCTCAACAATCCTTCGAGCTTTTGATTCATAGCTGTTAGCCCGGCCTTGCTGAAAAGCTCACGGCGCAAGTCAAGACCCGCTGGTCGATTTCATTTCTTAGCAGTGGACTTCTGGTCGCAAAGCATAATTACTAGAGTTGATTATATATGCTCATGAACACAATATAAATATAAATATATATATATATATGTATATACACACATATTTATATATGTTTATTTGTAGATTCTTTTTTGCATTCATAGTGCATAGGCAAATCGACAGATCCCGTAATCTCTTGTGCAGGAGCTGGAGCTCCTTCCGGGGGAGGGCGCCTCTGGGCCAGAGCTGTCGCGCCTTGACTTCAAGCTTCGGGGGCCGCAAACCCTAAACCCCTAAAACCTACAAAACCTCAACAGCCCGGTTTTGACAGACTTCGGACTCCAAGCAGCCGGGGGCTGGATTTTATTTTGGACCGTTTAGACGCCTGGGTGCTAGAAGGAATCATGAGCATCCTCAGCTGCCCCAAAGGTTAGCTTTTCCTCCTCGCACTGCCTTCACCTCGGATGATCAACTGCGGTCCTCGCTGGCAGAGCTAGGGCCCGGAGCCCTGGAGGTATTATGAATTGGTATTGTATTATACTGCTATTATTAACATATATTATTACCATAATTAAAACCACTATTGCTATTAGTTTCATTAGAGCCACAGTGGACCGCAGAGCTTTCAGGGATGAGGCCGCGTTGGTCCTTAGAGGAGTTGGTGCCTAAGGCTCGATTATTTGGGCTTCGGTCTTTACGTAGAAGGCCTGGGGAGTCGAGTTTTCTTAGCAGACCGTGATGAAGCACGTGAAGAAGAAAGCACCACGGCTTTGCGAGCCTTCGTCTCGCTGCATCTGAGGACTCATGAGGCCTGCAGCCGATGCTGCCATGTCAGTTGTTGAATATAATAAAGCTTGATCTCAAGATGTCAGCAAGCTCTCCTACCAGTCCTTCTACAATCATCGCAATGTGGCCTGGTTTGCCTGAACCATGAGGCATGCGGGTGGAGTCTTGACGAGACTGTACTGTTGATCCTTGCATGTCCTTGACCACCTGGAGCTTTCAATTCCTGCCCGTTTTTCTTTGGAGCTAGAAGACAAATGGTTTGGGCATACCGAGGCTCACACCCAGCGCCACCCTCCTGATCAAGGCCCACTTTCCGTCAGGAACCACAAAGGACTCAATCACTGCCTTTTTGTTTTCTTCGTATAGGGATTATGGGATATCCCAACCTTGTCAACCTTATGGTTTTTGTTCCGGTGTTGTTTTGCGCATCACTGGCCTTGGCGAAGCAGATTTGGGTGCCAGCTTCAACCCGCAGTCTGCTTTGGGGCTTTGCGTTGCTATGGCCAAGACATTTGTTCGAGTGGTTCTTGTGCTACGTAATTACACGATGCCTCCAAAAGCGAGCACAGACGGACATGAAGCCAGAGATCGTGACCTTTTGTCGCAAAAGAAACCCTTGAGCTGCGGAGCTACAGTAGCCGCCCTAACGCGTCCGACAGGGCATTTCTGCAGTGCCACCGGCCCCTGCAGAGCCTGCCGAGCTCGCCGAGACGGAAGGAGTTGCAGGAGGCCGTGATATCGCCTTCGACCTCTTGAGCGATTTCGGCAGAGTTTGGAGTGCACCATGTGAATGAGTCCGTTTCTAGGACTTGTTTTGAAGTGGCTCCTCTGTGAAAATCTGAATGATGTCTCGGTTGAAGATGCAGGGAAGCCTGGGCCATTGGTGTTTGCGATACAAGCTTGTCCGAACACTGCACCAAACTGGGCAGGACCAGGTCTGGATGAAGAGACAAACGTAGGTTCGTTCGTTGTCAAGCCGAGTCAGCCCGGACTCTTCTAAGCAAGTCAGGTGCTCATTATCTTAGCGCGAAGTCTCCATCACGGGTTTGCTGAGTCGATGGCTTGCTTAGTGTCGGGACAGCCTTAGAGTTGAGTATCCCCCTGTCTGAGCAGGTCCCCAAGACGAGTCCGAGTCCCAGCCTCAACCACTTCGGTGAGAAGGCTCCGCTCTTCGCCACACCGCTCTTGCCTTGTCCCGATCACTCCGAGTACTTGCAAGCTGTGTCCGAGAGATCAAGCTTTGGGACTGCAGATAATCATACAACGCAACATCCTGCAGAATTTCAGTGGCTACTTATAACATAATTCTTGCCAGGCCGGGTCTGCTTGGTAGTGACAATGCCTTGTGCTGGGAATGCTACAGACTGTTGGGGGTGGTTAGCTATTGGAACCTTCACTGCTTTCGCTTAGGCTCTGCTTGCGCGGACGGCAATTCTGGGATGTTGCCACATTGAACCTTTGAAGTGGTTGCTCCGTCCTTGTCTCCAGAAAGCAAGGCCCTAGTCGTCAACTCGTTCGAGGACGCCTTGCCGACTTCTGAGACTTACGATCTGGATCTGCGACAGTTCAGCTTTCGCTTGCTTCAGCTTCGTCGATTCGTGGGGCTGAGCGGACTCAAGTGTGCCGCGGTTTGCATACCTTCAGATAGCCGATCAGGATAAAAGGATGATTGGGTTCCGGGTAGTGCAGGCTCGTGTGCGAGTACAACCTTATCAACAACTTGCATGAGTTGGCAAGTGTTGCGCGTGAAGCAAGATGCTCAATCTGTGCATTCCTCGACAATACCAAACACGCAGCACGGGACCCACAGTGAACAGGGCTTCGGGGACCTTGATCTGTCAACACCTCCACAAATGAGGCTTAAGGCTTAGGGGGTTTTGGCCCTCGATCGACTCGAAACCGTGATGTGATTTTGAAAGAGGTTTTCTGGCAGTCGCTTGCGAAGCTGTGAAGAGATCTCCTTGCGAGGTTGCTGTGCCAGGAGTCAGTGAGAGGATGCGATGATGTTCGCTCACAAGAGATCCGAAGGATCCCAGGGTGCAATCATTGCAGAGATGCGTTTCACATGGCCTGGCGTATTTGGCAAGGAAGCAGTGGCTGAGGGTGCAGGTTGGTGCGTCGTCAGTAGCTTTGTAATGTCCCGTTGCAAGGCCATCAAGACCAGGAGACATCCAATGACGCTTCTCAAGATTACCGGCTTCTGCCTACATGCTCTAAAGTGCATTGTTTGCCTTATGGAAAGTCCGGAAGCTACCTGCTGGGGCGATTCACAGAAAGTCTGTGTTCTCGGCCGTGAACGGCCATCGCTTTGCTACAGAGCAGTAGCTCGGGGAGAGATGGCGGCATATACAGCTTCGCGCAGCCCATCTCTACACCTGCAGAAAACAAGATGGACTCCTCCATTGGCTTGTACTTCCGAGTTGAAGCATCTGTTAAAGCTGTGAGCTGGTTAGCCAGTTTTCGCAGTGGGTTTGATGACCCACTCGAGGGAAGGACGTATGCTAAGCTGTCTGGTGTGTCTCTGTCTTGCGCAGGCATCCGCATGTACGCTTGCACGTATATATATATATATATATATATATCTCTCTCTCTCTCTCTCTCTCTCTTCCGCCCATGTACGTGTTAATAAAATAAGAAGACATGTATGAGACAGCATGGCATGCTACTGGCCAGGGAAGTCATCAAATTGAGTCTGTAACAAGTGATGTTCAAGCTTTGTACTTGGAACCGAAGCAGTCAAGCCTGGCAAGTGGCCCGAAGCAAAATGCTGACAAAGTCCGCTACACCCATTCGAGAGCTTGAGACCTACGACCCTACGTTGGGTGCACGCAGGTTGCTGGCACTCCACCACTGGAGCGCGCGTTCCATTCCTTCGATCTTATCGGTCGGGCAACGCAGGATGAGGGTTCAGTCTTGTGCGTAGTTTGGGCACGCTCCTCGCTGCTCGAGAGCGCACTTAGGGCCACGGGCTCCTGGGAGTCCGCAGGATAGAGGGGCTGGGGGCAAGTCGGCAGATCCGAGACTTCACGAAGTCTTCCTTGTCTGTCTTCTTGGCTACTGAGGCAAGTGGGTCTTCTGCTTCGCGGGCTCTAGCCAGACCAGGCCTGGATCTTCAACGTCTGTGTCTCTGTCGTTTCTGTCGCTGGGTTGCGCGAGAGGTTGATGAGGAACCCCGACATGCTTGCACCTGCAATCCCCTCGTCCCAGTCCGCAGTGCATTCCAGCAGCAAGTCTTCGTCATCTGTCACTGTGCTGCAGCATCAGCGACCTTTACATCCTGGATGCGCCGAACATGAGATGGGCACGGCCACTCTACGAGGGCCAGGCGGACCAGTCGGGGTCGACGCTCCCCGAAATGCATGTCTGGGAAGCGGGAGGGAAGGGCCTGTCTGCACTCGAGTTCCGAAACCCCGATTGGAAGCCACGACAAAACGTGGTAGTGGCAGTGTTGTCTCGTAGGCGGAGGCATTGTATGCACCTGTGACCGCAAGCGCGGCGGGGCTCAGGTCAGGTCGTATATTCCAGTGTCTTTGGGATAGGAAGAGATCGAGCACATGCTTCGAAGTCCTGAAGTCCTGAGCGCAATGATACAGCCGGGAGATGGGCGCCATGAACCATTCCGCCTTCCCGGCACTAAGAGTCCAGCTCAACATCGAGAATCGAGTTAGACAGATGCTTTCATGAATCCCATGGCACCCTTCACGAAACAGCCAGGTGAATGCCAGAGCACACGCCTCCTCCGTCCTCCATGACAAACTGATCGTGTTCGGCGGAGTGAGAGACAAGGCCGGTAGCAGATCCATGGGAAAAGAAGAAATCAGGCTGGCAGGCCGCTTTCCATTGTTGCACTCATACTGCATTTTGACACATATATGTTATGTTGCAGTATACTATACTATGGTATGTTATAAATATTGCAAGTTTTTTTATTCTTAGACTGTATTATACTTGCATCAAGCTATACTTTAGTAGATTTTAGTATTGACAGATTCCAAAGCCGCTTGGATGGACGCAGAAGCTTGTTTGCAGATCACGCAAACCTCCAAGAACGGCCCGCCGGATGTCGAGCGCGGGGCCCAGCATGAGCAGCTTCATGTCAGTCAAGCTTCTGCGGATCTTGATGTGCGAAGACTCACCGTACATGTGATAGTGACAGTTGTCAACAGCGAGAATGAGAGGCTTGAAGAAGAAGAAGTATCGAGAGCTTGGCGCTTTTCGTCTCCACACAGCGGCATGGAGAAGCATACTTCGTAGCCATGATGACCGCTGACTTCTGTTCCGTTTCATCTTCATGCTGCCCAGCAGTGTTCCATGCAATTAAAGAAGCTTTTACACACCCATAACCTGCAAACAGTGGGGCCGCGGCGACAGCCGCACATCATGCGAAACCTCGCATCATGGCTGGTGACCAGAGACACTTCAGGGGGAGAGAGAGAGAAAGAGAGAGAGAGTCAGTCCGTGTCTGTGTGTGTGTGTGTCTGTCCGTCTGTTTGTCTGTGTGTGTGTGTGACTCTGTTTCCAAGAGACGTGAGTGAGTTAAGCAGCAGGGGGCAGAGGGTCTCATTTCACGGCCTCTGCCAATGAAGCTCCGTGATATTGAGACAGGTAAACGTACCTGCAGTGGTCGGCATGGGCACATTTGTGCAGCTTGTGACCACACAACTGTTGATTGCGAGTAGGAGTGTAATGCAGTTTCATGTGCAGTATCATGTGCAGTCATATGAGTGATTCGCGTTTGTCTTATGGTAGTACTTCTGATTGCATGTTCTGACTTCCCCTGACAGCTTCCGGCAATATGCACTGACTGATCAGACCTGCGACACGATGTGTCAAGTGTGCTTCACAACGGCATTCCCTATGGGCGCCGTGTCTCCCAGAGGTAGCTCTGGCGCTGACTTTCCCGACTGATTGCATAAGCATTGGATGACTTCCTTTGACTTCACATCCATGCTTGCATGCTGACTTCTTCAGTGAGTCTTTCCCAAATGCCTTCTCCGAAACCTGAATGCTGACTTTCTCATTGACTTTATTATGATCTGGTTGACTTTCCCGAACTGATTTCACCACTGACTTGTCGCAGGTCTTCGGCTGCAAGTGGAGTACATGAGCTGTAATTTTGGTAGTTGCCGATCAATTTGCCATGGATTTGTTTGCATTGTTGGATTGGGAACAGCAGATGTAGCTCCTGCCTCTGCATCCGCACATGCTGTAAGTGATCGACCTGTTCCACAACAAGATGTTCCACCAGCCATCACTCTACACGCAGATGGTACAGGTTTCCGTCTGTCGTTTCGTTCAGTTGCCGATTTTGCAGTGCGGACCAGAAATACGTCTTTCGTGTTAAACCCCTGCAAGAATCTTACGAGCATCTTGGGAATCGAGCTCTTCTCAGAGGTCATGTGGAAGTAGAGTGGGAACAAGATTCAAACTTCTTCGTGATTCCTGAACTTCGTGGGTTGGAAGTGCGTGATGAAGAAGGGAAGCTGATTCAAGTGTACTCAGCCAACTTCAATTGGGTCGCATTGTATCCCATGTTTACTGCTCTGCGCCCGCGTACCAAACTGCAACTCAGTGTTGCATGTACTTCAATGCAAGTGTGTTGCAAGGGATGTGCAAGGGACGTGCAAATGATGCGCAAGGGATGTGCAAGGGCTATGCAAGTGATCTGCCGGCAGCATGTGTTGTGAATATTTGCAGACACTGTTTTGATTCATGTCCTCAAGGCACTCTGCAGTTCTAAAAAGACTTGTAACGTACAGGTAGCTTCAAATTATGTCGGTGTCCAGTTTTGAGAGCGATGCTGCCTCTGTATCGGACGTGCACTCGTCCGACTTTTCGTCAGACTTTGCAGTGTCGGACCAAGCTGGAGTGATTGGTTCAGTACATGTTTTTGCTTGCTTGTGCGACTCGTAGACTGCAGTTTCGCGACATGAGTGCGGTTTGCATATGTTGGAATGCGTAGACTCTGCAGTTTCGTGACATGAGTGCGGTTTGCATATGTTGGAATGCGTAGACTCTGCAGTTTCGTGACAGGAGTGCGGCTCGCCTATGTTGGAATGCGTAGACTTCAGTTTCGTGTCATCGGTGCAGTTCGCCTATGTTGGAACGCGTAGACTCTGCAGTTTCGTGACACATGAGTGCGGTTCGCCGATGTTGGAATGCGTAGACTCTGCAGTTTCGTGACATGAGTGCAGTTCGCCGATGTTGGAATGCGTAGATTCTGCAGTTTCGTGACATGAGTGCGGTTCGCCGATGTTGGAATGCGTAGACTCTGCAGATTTGCGACATGAGTGCGGCTTGCTTATGTTGGAATGCGTAGACTCTCTGACATGAGTGTGGTTCGCCTATGTTGGAACGCATAGACTCTGCAGTTTCGTAGACTTTCTGCTTTGAGACGCTGCTGGAAATGATTGCTGAGAGTATTCCTGCCATGCAGCCCTATCCGATTGAATGACATACCGGAGAGTCCAGCAGTGCAGGTTTGCCGTGCAGCAAGTGTGAGCGCATACTCGTTTTGTAATGGCAGACGAGGTCATTGATTGCAGTCTCCTGTGCATGGACTTTCTGTAGGGTGATGGTGGATGCCCAATTGCTTTGCATCCTTGGTTTTGAACAATAAGAAAGCCCAGCACGATGCTGTATATTGGCTCTACAAGCGTCTCAGATTCTGCAGTTTCGTGACATGAGTGCGGCTCGCCAATGTTGGAATGCGTAGACTTCAGTTTCGTGTCATCAGTGCGGTTCGCCTATGTTGGAATGCGTAGACTCTGCAGTTTCGTGACACATGAGTGCGGTTTGCCGATGTTGGAATGCGTAAACTCTGCAGTTTCGTGACATGAGTGCGGTTCGCCGATGTTGGAATGCGTAGTCCCTGCAGACTGGTGACATGAGTGTGGTTTGCCTATGTTGGAATGCGTAGGGCGTAGACTCTCTGACATGAGTGTGGTTCGCCTATGTTGGAATGCGTAGACTCTGCAGTTTCGTGACATGAGTGCGGTTCGCCGATGTTGGAATGCGTAGATTCTGCAGTTTCGTGACATGAGTGCGGTTCGCCGATGTTGGAATGCGTAGACTCTGCAGATTTGCGACATGAGTGCGGTTTGCTTATGTTGGAATGCGTAGACTCTATGACATGAGTGTGGTTCGCCTATGTTGGAACGCATAGACTCTGCAGTTTCGTAGACTTTCTGCAGTTGCAAAGAAGAGTCTGTTTGCCAGTGCTGCTGCAAGTGTATTGCAAGGGATGTGCAAGGAACGCGCAAGTGATGTGCAAGGGATGTGCAAGGGTTATGCAAGTGATCTGCTGGCAGCATGTGTTGTGAATATTTGCAGACACTGTTTTGATTCATGTCCTCAAGGCACTCTCCAGGTCTAAAAAGACTTGTAACGTACAGGTAGCTTCAAATTATGTCGGTGTCCAGCTTTGAGAGCGATGCTGTCTCTGTATCGGACGTGCACTCGTCCGACTTCTCGTCAGACTTTGCAGTGTCGGACCAAGAACATGATCGACGTGCAGCTTTGGTATCAGGTGTTACCGCGGTCAGTGATCCGGATTCCGCTGATTTCGCCTTTGATCATGAGAGCTCAAATGTGTCATCGTTCCTTGGCCGACAGTCTCCGTCAATGTCCCCTGGTCGATCAGTTCAGTTTCCAAAGTCGAACTGTTCCGCTGCAGAACACACCAACATGTCGAAGATTGTCCCGCCGCGGAAACGCAAGCTTCGTATGATTGATGAAGGTTCTGATGGTGCGCGTATCAAGATTCGTCCTGCACCTAGAGCCCAATTTCGTCGCAGAATGGAAGGCACGAGAGTGCTTGGTGACGACTTCTTCATCCACAACAGAGCCCAGTTCATTCTCGATTTCCTGAGACAACACGGGGAGCGCATTGGTAAAGAAAAGCATGGCCCTAGGAAGCGTTTTTCCTCTACTTTGAAACTTGTGCAGTACGTCTTAGACCGAAAGTGAGAGAGCGTTGACGGTTTGAAAAGAGTCCACCAATGCTTTGTGTCAACCGAAGTGATTAGCCAGGGAAGAGTAAGCGGATTGCAAGTGATGTGCAAGGGACGGTCGAGGTATGTGCAAGTGCTGTGCAGGAAATGTGCGGAGAGACATGTCAGGGATGTGCAAGTGCTGCGCCTTTGGGAGTTGCTTTCATCAGACATGGAATAGAGTTTTGTTTCAAGCAGTCTGGAAGTTTTGTAGATTCCGAACAACATGGATTGGGCCGCTTCTGACGTGCTCGAGAACATCTTGACGTACTTGTTGCCGATCAGAGCCAGAATCACATTCATTACTCGCCTTGATCGAAATGACGACCCAGAAGAGGCGCAACCCTTAACCGACACCTTGGTGGCCTACACGTTCTTGCAACGTGGGATCCAAGAATTTCGACTGTCCTCCTCGGTTGAGTTGACCATGGGTTTTCAGTCTTTGCATACCACCATCCGTTTTGTTCAAATCAATGCCGTGGCCTGCACCATGTTGGGCAGCCCTTCCAAGAGGTGGATGCGTGCTGTGGTAGACCTAGCACAGGAGCGTTTGCGAGTGAGTATCGTGTCATTGGCCACGTTTCGATGATAAATCGGTGAGAAAAACAGCGCGCAACGACCATCAACATTGCACGGAGCCCCTCGGGGCTTGTGTGTGTCCAACTCTGTTTCCAAGAGACGTGAGTGAGTTAAGCAGCAGGGGGCAGAGGGTCTCCTTTCACGGCCTCTGCCAATGAAGCTCCGTGATATTGAGACAGGTAAACGTACCTGCAGTGGTCGGCATGGGCACATTTGTGCAGCTTGTGACCACACAACTGTTGATTGCGAGTAGGAGTGTAGTGCAGTTTCATGTGCAGTATCATGTGCAGTCATATGAGTGATTCGCGTTTGTCTTATGGTAGTACTTCTGATTGCATGTTCTGACTTCCCCTGACAGCTTCCGGCAATATGCACTGACTGATCAGACCTGCGACACGATGTGTCAAGTGTGTGTGTGTCTGCGTCGATCGGTCCAAACGCGCAGACATTTCGGAGAGTGTTTGTTTGCACCGCAGATCAGTAGATCTGAGAGACTGCGACATTCAGACAGTTTCTGTAGTATGCTACTTCCAGCGGAGAGTCCATAGCAGTCGGCCTTCAGCGCTAAACCCTGAGCCTAAGCTCTAATCCCTACCCCTAAACCGGAACCGTCTAAACATGTGAAGCCCTTGTAGAAAATCTTGAACAAATAACACTACTCTGCCCGTCATTGGGGAGGCCCCACCTGCAGCTTCTGGCTGACCCTACAAGCACTGTGTCAGTCTTGTCAACAAGGCCGCACATCTCAAAGAAGCTTTTCTTCTTGAACGTGCTCGAGGCCTTTGCCTGTAAGTTCAGTGTCTTGATGACGGCCAAAGCTGAATCCTACAGACGTTCTGATCATTGCAGTGACGGTCATGGCTTGCTCTCATGAGAAGCGTTCCTTGTTACACCGTTTCAGGCTCAAGCCACCGGGGTATTCCCCATTCCCCGACCTTCGTGAACCGGTAGCTAACCCTTCTTCCCCGATGTCTCTGATTCAGCCGGCGCCGGCTGTGCTGGGACCGCTCCCACTCCCAGCCACTGAGCTCATCTCGGCTTTCTTGCTTTCTTGTGCTTGTTGCGGGCTTTAGCTTTGGAGTCTTCTGGGGAGAGCAGCGAGGATCCGCAACTTGGTTCGCTTAGGCGAGTTCGTGCTAAAAAGGCTACGACTGCGGAATAATGCAGACAACACCACAGATCCTCAAACACACGCCGCTTTGGGCTGTGGTGCCAGTGGCGCACGGCTCGGGACGCAAGCCATGTGTAAGTCTCTCTCCGAGACATGTCTCCCCGGCCTTTCTGTTGGGAATGGCAATCCCGGGAATGCAACAGTGTCTTCGTGTTGGCAAACTATCGGCAATTTCAAGAACTGAGCACCGGGGCTAGATCCTCGTTAAGCTATATAGGCATCCGAGAACGTTTGGGGTGGAAGGACCGGTCTCAGCACAGTTGAACTCAGAAGAAACCTAGCCACGCTGTCGCACCATGAACCAACGCCCTGCGTCCTTACCTCAGAAGCTGCAAAACCAACTCAGCAAGAGCAAAGCGACTGAAGAAGAGTGACCTGAAGTTTCGGAATCCCTTCTTCAGGCACTGGTCGGCTTTCTCGTCCTTGCGCATTTCGGCTTCTGTGTCTATGCAGCTCGGATGACAAGGGTATATTTCCTGGTCTAAGGTCGAGGCCTCCGCCTCGATACGGAGCAATGTACTTACATGTACTTTAACCCAATCTTCGATGCTCTGAAGACAGGCGATTATGACATGGAAGATGCACTGTTCTCGTCACGCCTGCGACGTGACTGCAGGTGCTTGCCACGGTGCAGTCCGACAAGAGCATGCTGATTGGACACGTCGAGGTGTCCAACACGCTTCAGCGCCTTGCCGGTATTTGTCGAAACTTCCTGGGATGTGCTGTCTCAAAGCAGTAAATCAAAGATCGCAGGACAGACACCGCGCTAGGCTTTGAACGTGATCCATGTTACCGCCGGGCATGATCGCTTCCCTAGTTGACGGAGGTTTGATATGACCAGTAAGCTCGGAGCCTGAAGGCCACAGCTTCAGCTTTGCACGGGGTGACCTTGTAGTGGCATGTAGCGTCTTTGTGCTTCCGGATGATGGTCACTTGAAAAAGGAGTGTTTTTGCAAGCTGCTTTGAAGTGATTGGTGTATACTGAGGTGTGCCTTCGGGGCATTTTGCTTGATCGGCCTTCCCGTTACCATCCACGCGGGCGTTGGAACTGTTTTCAGAGCGCCAGGCATGGAGGGTTTGGAGGGAGTCGGAGGAAGCTGCGGGCAAAAGATTTAAGTTTCCTAGCAAAGCAGTTGGCTTTGGCTTCATCAGCATCTGGGAGGGTTTACGCGACGGTCAAGGGAAGTGAACAGCAGGGCTGCCCTTCTTCTGCTACCCGAATTTATCCGGTCAGAGTTCAGAAACGGACGCACAAAACACAGGCATAGTGAGCAAACGCAGCGATGCTCATGCATGAAATCAGTCATGGATCTGGGCTGAGCAGGATGCAGCAGGGAGGCGGGCTCGTGGGCCTCAATGCCTGATTTAATTATGTGTGCCCACACATGCTGCCCCTCTGCAAGGCCACCTCTACTCCTACATCTGGTGCCTTGGACATAATTATTCAAATTTGGCCATTGGCTTTCCGCTCTTTCACTGTACACATCTCTGATATCGTGTGGTGGGCCTTTGGGGTAGCATTCTGGGCGTTGAGTGGAAGTTGAGCGTTTTGCCGCGGAGGCCAGAAGTTTCGAGCAAATGAAGAATAATTCTGGTAATGAGGCGGTTCCCTAAATTTTGCCTATTTGACCTTGCCGCAACTACACGGCTAGTTTCTGCCCAGCCGCAACTTCAAACTCCCTGACATCAAAGCGCTCACTTGTCCCGGCCAGTGCGATCATGAAGCTGAGCCACTCCCGAGCATGCCCCCAAATCCTAAGGTATCAGTTCCTGACCCTCTTGTCGGTCGGGGGCTTCTTGCTCTCCCTTGCCGTGAGCCAGCGTAGCTGCTTCACGCGGGAAGCGCGTGGTGACGGTCTGGCCACCATGGTCTGTTGCCTGGCGCTGGAATTCTAACATCCCCAAATTTGTCCTTGTTGGGCGACCCTGGCAGTAGCGGGGTTCCGTGCCAGTGCATCCTCCAGCCACGAGCATCCGTCTACTGTCTTCTCGGGCATGTGTGTGTTGTGTGTGCCTCCGTCTGCACGGAACGAGGTGGCCTACCAAACATTACCAGCATGGTCTTCTTAGCGATCTTCTGCCTGTCCATGAGCGTGGCCATGTGCCCCATCGGCTGCGACCTATGTCGAGCGTTGGGTTCAGAGGTCAGATGATGTCGCAGCTCACTGCAAGAATTCAGCATTCTGCATGTGAATGCATCGGCAGGTACTTCGTGTGGTCCCTCGGTGAGGTCTACAAGGGGCGGTTGGCGACCGACCTCTTCCGATACCAGGACGGCGTCTAGAACAAGTGGGATGTAAACCGCAACTTCAAAGATCGAAGAGCGAAGAGATCTGTGACTTGACCTGCGCCTCGCGAAACATCGCCGGGCACCCTGTCAGTCTCAGTCTTACGGCAAGTACATCCTGGCCACCGCAATCCACACTGCACCGGCAAACCTGAGAGTCATGCGTCGTAGGCTTGCACTCTCGAGTCGCAGTTTTGTCGTCATGCGCTGTTACAGCTCTTCCGGGAACATCAGTTACGGCATTTTCTCAAGACCTTACCCTACCCCTGCGCCAGCCGCCCGATTCGGCGAAACGCCCTCTCGAATCTGCTACTAAACAAGATAAATCCTGTCATCAGCAATAGGAACCCTAAAGCCTGTAATCCCTAAACCCCTAAACCCCTAAACCCTAAACTCGTAAAGCCTGTAATCCCGAAACCCTGCAAACAGCCCCGAAGCGCAGGAGCCTTTGCAGCTGAAAGCACAACTGGGCGAGGCAAAGAGTCGCACTTCGGGGCTCCCTGCTTGGAGGATCATGGGACTTAGTAACTAGGGTTATAAGTACCCTAATTGGGTTATAAGTAATTATGAGTATAGTTACCTTATTTATAGCCCTAGTTAGTAAGTCCCATGATCCTCCAAGTACTTGAGGGCTCCTGACAGGATCTTAAGAGGTCACTCGAAGGGTTCCTATCATATAGGAATCCTTCAAGAAGGAAGCCTTAAGGGCCTTAAGGGGCACTGCAAGGGTTCTTATTAGGAGGGCTCGAAGAGTTGCTGGAACGGCTTTAGGAGGGGTTCACTGTCGTCGTCTAGATGAGCAACTCCCTTCCGAGACTCCGGCTGCGGCCTTCGAGGCTGTGGGATGACTTCCCGTCTACGTTGTTATAATGAAACCATGCGATATTTTAATATAGCACAGTAACATCGAACATGATAGAATATGATAGTTATAAGTTATAACATAGGGCCTTTGGGAGGCGTGGAGGCTATCGGAAGTCTCAGTGCCGAAGATAACCCCGACCCAGAGTCCCAAATTAAAGCATCAGGGTTTAGGGTTCAGGGTTCCCGGGGCTCACATGGCACAGGCCCACAATCTCAACCACGTAGTCTCAAACCCCACGTGACCGAGGAGGCGGCAGCGCAAGCCGCCCGTGAAGCCCAAGCCGCAGCTGCCGCGGTACCTCTGCGATTGAAACACACATGGAGGGTGCTAAAACTGAAGGGTCTCATTATAAGGCCTGGAGGGTATGGGGTCAGGTGGAGGTCTTCATACTCAGGATCCTATCAGTCCTATCTTTCAGTGTCTGAATATATATGGGGGGCTCCGAGATCTGCTGAGGGCATCCGATCATCTGTGCTGCTTTAGGGCTATCTCTCCTAGAGGGTTGTTGGGATTCCCTAGGCCAACCCAAAAGTGTTCCGAATGCCCCACCACTACCACGAAAAGCCCCCCGATGCGAACGAAGCAGCACAAGTCGGACAAGAATCTAATCGAGCCCTCCTAAAGCCCGAAACTCGAAGCCCTGCCAGTTCAATGTCCGAGCTCCGTCTTTCCAGAAACCGCCCGCATGTCCGCGCCCTGCAGAGCGAACCCCGGCCTAAACCAAGGTCGTAACACCATTGAAGCAGTGGCAACAAAGAATCGTGTTTGTCGGCCTTTCCGAGGGTCTGATCTGTGTAGCGGTTTGTCTGTGCATAAACTGTCGGGAATCAGAGTCCGGACCGAAACCCTGTAAGCCTGCAAGCCCCTCGCCACTGATCCCAGAGATGTGGCTTGGGCCCTGCTTGCCCCCAAAGCCCCGAAATCGCAAACCGGAGTAGTTGAGGAATCGCATCTGAGAGCAACGACAATCATCCTGCTTGTAGCATCATAGTCATAAGTGAACAGGCAATGATGAAAATGACTACTGATCTTGCATCAACATAAGCCTGCGAAACATAAAGCTTCCCCTCGAAGACGAGGCTAACAACATAATGACATGGGCGACAACGACAGCAGTAACAACAACAACAACAACAACAACAACAACAGCAACAGCAACAGCAACAAAAACCACAACCACGACCACGTACGATACCTCCCACACAGGCTACATGTAGGGTACCTGAACTATGCCAACCGTACTTCGGAATTCTGCCTGTCAGCAGGATCCGTGATGAGAATCAGGCTGTCAAGAATTAGGCTGTCATCGTCATACCAGTAACTACTACATGTACTCAGGCAGTCATTAATAGTAGTAGTCGCGTCGTCGTCGTTACATCAGCACCACCAACAGCATCAGGAATGACAGCACAAGCTGGGCGCTGCTCATGCCACTATGAGCGTCAGCCATAGCAACAACACAGTTGCCCGACTAACACGACCATTAAAATTTCAGAACTGCTCCCGACGATTCCCATGAGAAGGCACATCGCATGGCTGTACCTGGTGCGCTTTGGAGCCCTGGTGCTCTGTGAGACGGCCAAAGAAGCACCCGGAAGATACCAAGATGTGCAGAAAAAGGGTGCGGCATGTTGGGGGCTAGGCACCTGTGTTTAGAGCTTAAGGTAATGACATGTGATGCTTTTATATGCAAAGCTGTAGCTGCAAGGCTTAAGACTTAAGACGGTTGGGTAGCTGGTAGGGCTATGGGGGGGCAGGGGTGCCTTACATATCCAGAGCTGAACAGGCTGAGGCATTCCACGGCTGCAAAGCTTTCGATGTTTGTTTGTGCTCAGCAGGTTGATCACTGGTGTGTTGTAGAATAAACCCCAAAGCCTAAATGCTAGAACAATATTCCCTGAACCGTAAACCCTAAACCCTAAACCTGAACCGTAACCTTTAGTATGTGGTGCATGAGTAGACTTGAACTCTTGGAGAAAGGGCCGATCCGACAGGACAGTCAGGGCTGAGGTTTTCGGGTGTAGGGGCCCTTGGGGCTTGGACAAGGGTTTTAGAGGGGAAACATGTTAGGGCCGATAAATGGATACCATTGGAAATTATTCCGACCCCTCTGCTATACCGAAATCCCGAGTCTCATGTCCAGTTCCGAAGTCGTGAACTCGCCCTACCAGGAGCGAAAAAAGAACATCATAAGACCTTGAAGTCGAGATTGAGCCCTGTGACGCCAATAAGTCCTGACTTTCATTTTCAAACTCAAGGGCCCTCGAAACCCGTCCTGTCGGATGCAGGTCAAAGGTGGCGTCTCCGAGGGCGACTTTAAGTTTAAGCTCGTCACCGTGGGAGACTCCGGGGTGCGCCAAGATCTCCGGAGTTTTGGGGTTTGGCTTCAGGGTTTAGAGTTTAGGGTTTAGAGCCCCGAGTGTTACGGGGATCATTGGGAAGTTCCTGAACAGATTAACCACAAACAGGAGGCCCTACGCTACCAGAGGGTACTTCATAAACCCCCATCAGGGGATCTGCTTTGTCGATCTTCCCGGGGGTCTGGGTAAGCATGTCAAAATGTGAGATAACGGGAACGGGTTCTATAACAGACTTTGGTGGGCTCGGAGTCTTCAGAACTACGATGATGTTAGCCACGCTGTGTTGTCGAGAGGGTCAGAGAGTTACGGCTTCGCGCGTAGACGGTACTCGCATCACTGCATGAGACCAGTTTCCAAGTTTATTCCACATGTCAGGCACTCAGGCACAAACGTCATGAAAGATTCGCCTCTATGCTCTTGTTCTTGACACAAACAATGCCCGACATGTCGGGGCCGGCATTCTCCTCGTGTCGTAACATCCCAATCCTCACATCCATGCTACTTCTGCTTCCGCCAGGTTGGAAAGTCCTGCCTTTTGACTCGGTTTGTACAGGACGTTGGGGGAAGGAACTTTTGCAAGGATTCAGGCAGAACGTCTGCAAACTACAGAGTTCAAGCTCTCGCTGATGCATGGAGTTTCTGTGCGAGCACTTGCTTCATGCGAGAGTGCAGCTCGAAGATCAGGAGTGCATGAAGTGAATCTCTGCAGGACTATTACTCCGACTGTCATGTGTCTACTATTGGCGTGGATTTCAAGACCGTCGCTACCTCAGGGCGGCATCGAGATTCATGGTCATGTTGTAGAGCAGCATCGTAAATCTCAACAAGCTGAAGCTGTGGCTGCTGACGGTAGGCGAGATTCCCGAAGTCAAACTTACCACTGCTCTCGGCCCATAGCCACGGCGTTTTCAAGGTCGTCACCATGGTGAAGGGACGGTTGGTGAAGCTACAGCTTTGGGACACAGCCGGGCAGGAGCCAGCAACGTCCGCGTTGGTTCCGAGGGCTTAGAAGTCGGCACGAGAGCAACCCTGGAAGTTCAGGCAGTTCGTGACTACGGCATTTGGACAGGAGCGCTTCTCCGTAGTCACCGGCAACTACTACAGAAACTCAGACGGTCAAGCGCTCAGTGAAGTGTATCTGGGGCTTGCTGAGAGAAGTCACTGCGAATCTTAGCTAGTGTTTCTGCTGTATACAGTACAGAGACTGGCAGAGTGACTTTGGACGCTGCATTCGCTGCATAGCTGTGCTGGCATAATCAGGCATAAAAGTTGTCGCGAAAACAGGTTATCACATGTGCAAAGATGGTTCAGATCGCAAAACCCGGAAGCCTGGCCCAAGGCTTCATTTTCGTCTATGACGCCACAAGTCGCGTGGCGCACTCACTGCTGCCGGTTGTTGACGCCTTTGTCAAGTCTTCGCTCGTTGGGATGTATACGGTGATGCATAGCGGAGCATACGGAAGAGATTCTCCAATCCAAGCGTTGCATTTGAAGCGCCCGCTCCTGCCGTCACTGCTCGAGTCCATCGCGGCCAGCGCCGAAGGCGCTCGACAGCCGCGGGCTGTGTACCAAACCTGATACGCCTCTGGCCCTTTTGGCAATGGCGCTGTAAGCTCTGTAAACCTTACCCACTTGACCTCAACACAGCCTCATACCCCGAACCCCAGGCCCAAACTTGAGTAAACCCTCGGAGTTGACGAAGGAAAGTGCGTAGTTCGTCCGTGGCACCCCATGGCAACACGCCATGCCCGAGTGGTGCGATTCGGAAGGCAGGGAATGGTTGGGAGAATGCAGTGGATAAACGAGTTGGATGCCTTGCAAGCGGTCGTCGACAACAGCAAGTGCGCGTGTAGCCGTAAGTACTTTTCAAGCTTACCTACGCAGCCGAGCCCCCTTCGACACAAGTCATATCCCCACTGGTTGTCTCAAGGTAATTTGACGGCAAATGCTGTCAACGTGCGGGATGAGCTTTGCCGGCTGTGGCAGCCTCGGGCAGGTCAAGCCACAAGATGGCCAGACGCTGTTTCCTGTGTCTGCGGATGTCTACGGTGAGCGCACAACAGGCAGCTCCAACAAGTCACCCCGACAAGGTCAACGATGGATGTGGTTGACATCTTCTTTCCTGAGTGCTGAGCGTGCTGAACCGAACCTGTACCCCAGAAACGAGCCCTTTCGAAGCTATCCTCCAGATTCTCCCGGCCGTGCTTCAAGGCTCCGAGACCGCGGCGGAGGAAGCCTCCTCCGAGGTTGGAGGCTGCATCCGGGGGGCTGCGCTGGTACAGTTCGTGCCATATATAGGAGAGAAATAGAAACGCGCAGAAACTTTGCGGGATTGCGGGGCTGGTCAGGGCAATCAGATCGACAAACAAGCTAAGCAGGAACGAGCTGGACCCGGAGTTCCTTCAGAACGTGTCGCGACAGGAGACATTGGGTTCGGCCGGAATTCTTGTGATTCGGGTGGCCATGATGTCCGCATGTGGCACACAGCAGCTCCCAGTCTCGAGCCTACACGGGGACAGTTTGTGCCACTCAAGAATGTGCACCAACTTGGCTTGTAGAATCCTGTTCACTCCGCGAGGACGTTGTTCGCGTGGCATTGTCCTTTGGAATGCAGAGCTCAGAGGACAGGTCTGGGAGCATGTTCAGTTCAGGTCGTGCCAGCCCCGGAAAAAACGAGCACCACCAACAGTAGACTTATTCCCGTCGCGTGATTCGAGTGTGGCCTTCGGTGTTGCTTCGCGCGCCCCTGTGACAGCGTTTCGTTTGCGAGCGGCCTTGCAGGATGACCTCCAGAGCTTCACAGAACAGGCCACGAGTGTGGGCCCAAAGACCGCCTTTCCCCATGTCCTTTGGGGTCAGGGTTCTGTGAATCACCTACAAGGCAGACTCCTAAAGCCTGGTGGCTCCTTGAGGTACTGGGATGCTAACCATTATGGACCTGGACCGTCAGGCGACGGCGGTGTCCATGACTTGCAGGGCCTCTTTGAGCATGTATTCTCCGTTGGCCTGACATCTTCTGAATTTGCCTAGAACGCAGAGGGTCGCGGAAGTCCAGGGGCCCAGGAGGTGGTTCCTTGTCCTCGAGCTTCAAACTGCAGCACAAAGCCTTTCCTGAAGCCCCACGACTGGAAGACCGCCATCCTCGCCACGCGCTTCAAGCGCTGGGCGGCGACCCACGGTCCCTTAAGGCAGACACCGGTATAGTAGCTTTCGGATATACGGGAAACTGAAATTGAAGTTCCGCGGCTTCTTGTGGTAGCAGCAGATTCACCAGTTGAGCTGAAGTCATCGACCTGCGATTCAAGACCACATCGCGCATGTCATTGGGGACATGGTCTGACTGATATGCTCACCGCCCAGTCCAGTCTGCTAGTCTCAGCGCGCATTGCACCTGAGAGGCAACTCTGCTTCGGCACAGACAATGTCGTAGCCCAGTTGGGGAAGGCCTTGGGTGAACTTCAATTATAGATGCCTAACGGAAGGGACAGTGCCGAGAAGGATGCTGACAGCAAGCATGTATAGGTTGGAAAGGTATTATGAAGACCAGTAAGAACTCAGCAACAAACACCTGAAGGTGTAATCTTTTCAGACCGTGTATGACAAGGTGGTTCTGCCGGCTGACTTCGTAGCCGTGTGCCGAAGGCCAGGAAGCAGTGTCAGCATTGCACTGCTGAAGCAACAGGTCGCATGATGTAGAAGAGCATGTTGTACCCAAGTATATACTTATCATGATGTGACATCGCCAATGTAGTACGCATTGCAGCAACCTGTCACGAATGCCTCCAACCATAGAATTGCAGCCTCACCACTACGTTGAGGTCACTTGTAGAGCGATGCAAGTTCCGTGTGGGCTACAACTCAGCCACTTTGTTATGGACGAAGACATGCAACGAGGACCGGCTTCGACGGCTCAGACGAGGACTTCACTGAGCTCTATGGCACTTTGGCCTCACAAGACCACATGAAGAGCATGAAAATTTATTAGAAACGAGTTCGGGCATCTTGGGGCCTGGTGGCTCGGACATCTTCTGGGCTTACACAGCGTGTAGCAGTGTGTCTTTACATGACCTTCGTGTACTCTGGCTGCCAGTGCACGGCCCCCAGGCAGCTTCTCCCGGAACTATTCCCTTGAGGAGCACCTACAACCGCATGAGAAGTGAACCAAAATCCCTCATCAAACAACCAAGGCCGACATGTGTGTTGTGCGGTGTGCT